GCTCAACCTGAAAATAAGGCAGAGTCTGAAGAAATGGAGGTAACGTGAACCTATTTTCTTACAGGCTACTTCTGGAAGATTCAGGAGAATATGTAGTGTGACAAAGGCAGCAGATACACTCCCATAGCTCTGGAAGCTAAACTTACTTGGATATATCAGTAGTCTGTATTGTGATTAGAGCTTTAGCTGTACATAAATGGGATGGGGAACTGCAGATCTGTCAGGTGACGTGGTACGGGTAAAATGGGTGAACTCACCTATTCATGGAAGAAAGAATCTTTTAGTTCTCAATAACTTAATACTAGAAAAGTGCTTTATGCACCATCACCCCCAAGAGGCAGTCACTGTGTCCAGTAAATGTCAGTCACTATGTTAATTATCTCTGACTTCCTTAGCAGTTGAAGTGTCAGGATGACAACACATAGCTCTGATGTTGAGGTGCACTAACTCAGTAATACTTACCCTATTGTAAGTCTTGAATACTCCCCTTGAAGTGGCTGGTGGTGCTGGTTTAGACTTTGTTTCTTCACTGCAGACTTCCCAGGCTGACTCAAAAGACAAGAAAGTGGATCAGCCACCTCAAGCCAAGAAGGCTAAAGTAAAGACCACCACAGTGGACCTGCCCATTGAGAATCAGCTGGTGTGGCAGATTGGGAAAGACATGCTGAACTTGTTCATTGAGAACGAGGTAAACTCTTACTTGCCTCAGCTAAACATGTCACTAGTTAATCTCTAGAAATTTTGCTGTTCATTGGATGTAGTTAAGAGTGATCAAGTAAAATGAAAAGCAAAAAAACATGGTTTCTTTTTGAGATGAGCAACAGTGCCCTGTGGAGCCAAGATGCATTATTCCTGTTCAGTGAATGCTGTAGTTCTTACTGAAGGGGTGTTCTCTTGGAAACCTGGGTCACAGGGTGGTTATTTCCAAAATCACCTGCAGTTACAAGGTACTGGATGGCCTCCCCAACAGGGTGAAGGTTCCTCAACTGGAGGAAGATTGTTCTGTGCTGTACTGGATGTCCCACCAAAACTGAAATCAGTTTTTCCTCATGTGTTGTGTTCAGAACAGTTCTGTAAAACACAGGATTTCAATATCCTTAGTCAAGCTGAAGTCTTTGCTAACAAGGTATCCTGGCAAGAGATGGTAAATTAGCTTTTTAGCCAACTAATTTGACAACTTGTTCACAGGGTAAAATGATAATGCAGGATAAGCTGGAGAAAGAGCGGAATGATGCCAAGAATGCGGTGGAAGAATATGTGTATGACATGAGAGACAAACTCTGTGGGATTTATGAGAAATTCGTTAGTGAAGAGGTAAGTATCGCTAGCTTGATTGTCTTCTCATGTCTTTTTGTTACAAGGAACAGTTGTATTTTAATAACCTTTGACCTGTATGGGATACTGTGTTAATGAGACTATGTTTTCAGACTTTAAATTTGGAGAAAGAGCTATGAAGAGGACTTTCTAAATGTGGCCCAAGTCCAAGCAGATGGTACCCAGGATATATATTGTGTGTTCTTTTCCAAAACAGTTGCAGCAATTAAGATACTATCAGAGCATGTGTTTTCAGACTGAAATAGATGAGGAGCACTTGCACAATTTTAAGGCAATCTACTCTATTTTGGCTCCCTGTCAATATTTAGTAATAGTTTAAAAAATATAAATCAAAGAATTAGCCTACCAAGGAACATAATAGGTGGGATTAGCCTGACTAAATGTGGGTAGCTGTATCTGAACAGGTTGCCTAAAATTCTCTTGGTATTATTAATTAGCTTCCCCTGGTGTACTAGAGGAGCGTGGTGTGTAATTAATGTAATTGTGAGCTGGGTGACTGTTAGGCAGATGGATCACTCCCAGCTCCTGGCTGGATCCCCACTGACTAAGGGCAGCCTTTGCAGAGCCCACCTGCCTGCTGCAGAGCTGAGATTGGGACAGGCTGAGTGAGATTTGGGGCACCTTTGCTAAAGACAAGTTCTGCTCTGTTCTCAGACCTGCTCGTGTAGTGGTGATGAAAATATGAAGGGGAAAAAAGGGGGGGAAGGGGAAAAATAGGCTTTTATGTGACACTGTTGATCTGAACTGTGGGTGTCAGATAGTTCTTCCTTAGTCCTGGTCTCCACCACAAAGCCATAGTGAAGAATACTGTATTTCTTATTTCTCACTAAAATAGGATAAAGAGTTTCAGACAGTTCTTTACATTTTAAAATATAACCCTCCCAGAAATGTTGCAAATATCATTTAATACCATCTGCCACCTGTTAGAATCATCTCACTACCTGTTTTGTATGGATTGCTTCAGGATCGAAATAGCTTCACGCTGAAGCTGGAAGACACAGAAAACTGGCTTTATGAGGATGGTGAAGACCAACCCAAACAAATTTACATTGATAAATTGACAGAATTGAAGGTAAGTGATTCTTATATTCCCATTTACTGGAATTCACTGAATGTAGAGAGTGTTGTTCAAGTGGGGAGCTGGCTTGGGTCCGCTGCCTGTTCCCTGATAGCTGCTGTGCTTTGTTTCAGGCCCTGGGTCAGCCTATCCAGGCGAGGTTTCAAGAGTCGGAGGAAAGACCAAAAGCATTTGAGGACTTGGGGAAGCAAATCCAGCAGTACATGAAGACTGTTCACGCCTTCAAAGCAAAGGTATTGCCGTCTGTCTGGCAAATACAAGGACGTGGTACAAATCTACACTGAATTTTATCTGAACTGGTGCAGCCTCCTGGGTATCTTAGAATCATAGAATCATTCAGGTTGGAAAAGACCCTTGGGATCATCGAGTCCAACCGTCAACCCTACTCTACAAAATTCTCCCCTACCCCAACACCACATCTAAACAACACTTAGACTCATCCAAGGATGGGGACTCCACCCCCTCCCTGGGCAGCCTATTCCAGTGTCTGACCACTCTTTCTGTGAAGAATTCCTTCCTCGTGTCCAGTCTAAACCTCCCCTGTTGCAGCTTTCCGTGTTGCAGCCTGAATCCATTCCCTCTTGTTCTATCGCTACCTGTGAGAAGAGACCAGCACCAACCTCTCTACAGTGTCCTTTCAAGTAGTTGTAGAGAGTGATGAGGTCACCCCTCAGTCTCCTCTTCCTCAAACTAAACAGTCCCAGCTCCCTCCATCGGTCTCCTGAGCTCTTGATATTTACTCTATTATCAGAAGTGGATGTTGGTTTGAAAATCCAAGAGTCTGGTTGTTTTTTTGATCAGGTGTTGATTTTCTCACAGGGATAATGGCAGCAGCAGGACTTCAGCTCTCTGGTTACAGAGCTGGGGGTGATCAGCTCCACTGCTCTCACTGGAAGGGCCTTCTGGCTCAATGCTCCTTCTAGTGTTTTGAAGCTCAAAGTGTGAAGGAATAAGCATACAATTCAGTAGTAGCATGTGAAATATTTGGTTTTAACATCTAACCTGGCTGTTTCAGGATGAACAGTTCGACCATCTCGATGAAGCCGACGTAGCGAAAGTGGAGAAGAGCGCCAACGAGGCCATGGAGTGGATGAACAACAAACTCAATCTTCAGAACAAGAGAAGCCTCACTTTGGACCCGGTTATAAAAGCTAAAGAAATTCAAGCTAAAACTAAAGTAAGTCTTAATTACATAATTTGCTGAATTCCTATGAATCTTTCTGTTGTCTTGGTCTCGTTTGCTCAGAGGAAAACTCTGAGGTGAGGGATCCCCACTGGAGGGACAGCAAGTGGGTGTTGGGCTGTTGAACACCACGTGTTGGGGAACAGCAGCTGTGCAGTGCCCCTTGGGGGGGGTCACTTGGAGCAACAGGTTAAAGTACAGCTGGTGGGAGATAGAAATGTTTCTAACACTTTTATTTCCGTTTTCTAGGAGCTGACAAGTATTTGCAATCCCATAGTCACAAAACCCAAACCCAAAGTTGAGCTCCCGAAGGAGGAGCAGAAGCCAGCGGAACCCAACGGACCAGTAGAAGGTGGGGGGGAGGCCCCCGGGGGGTCCCAGGCACCCGAGCAGAGCGGGGCTGGGGCCGCCCCCCCCGAGAAGAAGCTCCCGGAAATGGACATTGACTGAATCTCAGCACTTGTTTATATTATTGCAAACTACAATAAAGCTTTAAGTTGTCAACTGTGTATGTTCTGGATACAACCAGGCGCGAGTCCCTCCCCCAGCTCCCCGGTAGCTCCTGCAGAGGTTGGGGCAGCGCCTCCACTCAGAACCACTCCCCCCTCCCGCAGCAGCCTTTGCCCATTAGCCCTGTATTTAGCCCTGTTCTTACCAGACCCACACAAAGGTTTTTAGCAGCCCTGGTGAGTCAGTTTCACTCCAAAGTAGTGACAGAGCCATGTCTGGAGCTGCCCTTGCCTCCTGTTGGCTGTTCCCTGGGCCTAGAGCAGCTCTGTCTGTGAAGTGCCCCTTAGTGCTGGGGGGGCAGGGGAGAGGGGCTGCTCCTGCCCCAGCTCTGCTCCTCTGCATTTCCTTCCCTTTCCACCTTTGGGGAGGTTATTCCTTCACCGCAGCAGGAGCTCTCCCCTCCTGTGGCAGCAGCAGCCCCTGTGCCCCCCCAGCAGCCCCCCCAGCTCCTTCCACCCCCTCCCCTCTCTGCTTCCAGGGGCTGTTTGTAGAGAACAAGAACTTTTATTTCAGCCCCCTCTGACTTGCTCCTGACTCACTCTGGCAGGGGGTGCTTTCTTCCACGAGGCCTTTGTTTGCAATGCTTGGGCTTTGGTTTTCTTTTCTTTTTTTTTTTTCTCCCCCAGGAAAAGACAAGACTGTTTTGATTTTTTTCTTTTTTTTTTTTTCTATGAGCTTTATCCAATGATGTGCTTCTAGAACTGTCTGTCATTAAACTCGCCAACATGACTTTGTATTGTGTTACAACCCGAAGCTGAAACACCCGGTTCAGACATTGCAAGAAAGAAAAAAAAAAAA